GGAATTAACCTCTGACAAAGCACAGATGATTTAACCAAGATGATTTCAAGACAGAATGAAGGCAAATAAAAATGTGTAAAAGCATAAAGTAATAAGAGGGAAAAAGGAAGAGAATGAGGGAAAGAAGGAGGAAAGAAAATGAAACAGCTGATAAAACTAAGAGGTGGAGACATGGTGGGGGTTTGGGTAGAAAAGCCCCAACCCTAATACTCACTATAGCAGGTCAAGAAAAGTCAGACCACTTGGCTACAGGAGAAGTTTCAACAGAAGTAAAAGGACAATACAATGTAAGAAATGGGCATGGAACGGTCTGTGGATGATTCCACAGAATCAAAACCTTACCTCATCCAGCAGGAAGGAAATGGTGTGTTGAAAAATGTGCATGTCTGCGTGTGTGTGTGCATTTGGAAAATAAGCACGTTAGAGCTGTGGAGATAAACCAGCAGAGCACCGGAAGTCACTGAAAGTAACCGTTCCAGGCATGATCTGGCACTGGGTCAGCATGAGAGGCCTGATACCTTTTTATTATAAGTGCTTTACCACTTGACTTTCTAAAATGATATACATTTATTTTTTTCAAAAATTAAAAAAGACAAACCCCAAAGTTGCAGGAGAGATAGACAATAGGTGTGTTCATCCATGACTAATGAAAGTATTGTCTAGCACAAGAAAGTAATTCTACCATACATATTACAGGACTAAAAATGTGGAAACTTTTCTCAAAGTAATTTATACGGAAGAATTAATTATACAGAAACAACTGAATATGGAAAGAAAAGTCACTGGAAGATGACTCAACAAAGGTCAGTATTTGTACTTAACCTTTGATGGCCAGCCTTTCATGGTATGGATATGTATATATTTTTTTCCATTAAGTTTACTGGTACATTTTAGGTATACAAAGCAGTTACAGTCATCACTGGGAACTTGTACCCTTACATGACATATCTTAGTTCTTATTTTTTTCCCCATTCCACTGCCCTCCCTTCAACTCCTCCATCCCTTCCTCATTACAAAGACTTTGAAGGGTAGGGGAAAGGAAAGAAGGGAAAGAAAAAAAACATGAGAAAAGGAAAAAAATGGAAACAAAGTCTTTGTAATGGATATATTTTTATATGTATCAATTTATATCCATATTGTGAAGGGCTAGGGACAAAACTCACTTTTCAAAGAATCCAGAGGCTATCTAAATACTTTCACTTAAGTTCTAAAAATGATGATATTGCTTTGACACATAAAGCTAATTGGAAAGGGCCAGGCTGCAAACCAGGATATATAATAAAACAACATTACACAGATATATCCCCCCACACACACACATTTAAAGTCTATGTCAAGGTGTTCTTACCTCTCCTCTGTCTTTAAGTTTTCTAAGACTTCTACAAGGAAGAGCACACATATTGTATACTTTATTGCAAAAGCAGCTGCATGGGGCCGGGGCTGGGGATTATTTCACAGGTTCTGTGATGGGATAGTGGTGATGATTACACAATGATATGATTGAACTTAACACTACGGATGTGTACACTCAAAAGCAATTAAGATGGTGAATTTTATGTCATGTGTATTCATCGGAATTTTTAACATAAAAATACAGTAAAAAATTGCAAAAGAATACAGATTTTATACACTACATGTAATAAATTTATGAACCACATGATACATATCTAATTATTACTAAAGTTAACCAACTGAATGCATTTGTAAAAGGAATTTTAAAACTACTGCATCTAATTAAAATTTTTGCTAAATTTTACTTTTTCCCTACTCCCAAAGTCCTTCCTGGTGGTTCTAAGACATCCAGGTGCTATTCCAAAATCTCTAATTCAAATCCTACCAATTCTTCATTATTCTCTGAGACCGTCCAACAACATGAATGTTTCCCAAGAATGTTTTCTAGGCCCAAGATTCATATTTCCTCCTCAGAAACAAGATGTTTAAACTTCAAATATCTTGACATTTATCATGCTAAATCCATATTATTACTAAATCCTCCAAATAATTTTATGCTCTTTTCAAGTAAGGCGTGTGTGTGTGTGTGTGTGTGTGTGTGTGTGTGTGTGTGTGTGTTATATGCCTTCTCAAAATGTCCCATTGGGTTTGTAATCTCTCACAGATATGATGCATAGACTAGGGTTGTGAAGAATGGGCTTTCCCATGATTTCTGAAATGGGGATATAAAGATAATAGTCTTGATGCTATCTGATCTCTGTAGTATTATGTTCTGAACTGTATTCTTTCCAAAGTTCCATATTTTAAAGTTCTAACCCTGAGTACCTCCAGGATATGACTGTATTTGGAGAGAGTCAATAAAAAGGTGATTAAGTTAGGACAAGGGTCTTCAAGATGGTCCCCAATTCAATATAATGATGTAAAAAGACTGGATCAGGACATATACTTGCAGAGGGAGGACCGCATGAAGACACAGGAGATAGCATCTAAACCCAAGGAGAGGGTTGGGGGGATGTAGTGCAGTAGCACAGTGCCTGCCTGCCAAGTGCAACGTCGAGTTTGATCCCTGGTACAAAAAAACAAAAACTAACAAGAGATGCCTCAAGGGAAACCCGCGGCTTCTAGAAGTATGGGAAAATAACTTCTGTTACTTAAGCCCCCTACTCTGTGGTACTTTGTTGGGGTAGCCAGAGCAGACACACACAGGAGTATATCCACCTTCTCTCTCATTGTTAGTGTGCATTCTGGGGGTTCTGAAACCTGTGTAATTTTACGAGTTGATTAACAGAAAAGAGGCATAATTGTTCCATGCCCTGACCACATCATACTCAAGGCTTTAGTTGCTGATGTGTCACACCCCAGGGTTATTCTGGTGGGTGACTGACAGAACAATGAGTGACAGAATGTGAAAGTGTAAGAAAGTGTTCCAAAATGAAAAGGACTTGACACCTCAGGTGGTCACCTGAACTCATGGACTTGTGTGTGCCAGGTAAGTGGTCTACCACTGAAGCACACCCTAGTTCAGCACCTCAAGGTGAAGGATTCTGAAGGCCTCCTTTAGAGCATTTTGACACATGTCATTGGTGACAGGTCCTGTGACCTGTAACTCCCTCTAATGTGTGAGGATGAACTCAATGACTCACCAAGGTCTTTTTCTGGCCCACGGCTGTGGACACAGTCTTAAAAATGAACCTATGGTTAAGTCTGGTGGAAAGTGGCTTATAAATATAGGATTCCAGAGTGTAAATCTTGAACATAGAAAATGACAAAACATCTTGGTGCACAAATTCCTGTTTGACTTGCAAATGTTACTTTGAGTTCCAGTATTCAGGACAATGGAGACAATTCAGTATGGTGAGAGGACTAAGAGCACAAACGTGGACTTATTCACCTGCCCCTGCCCATGGCATCTCTACCAGGGCAGAGCTATGAGAGGACAATAAAAGTCATAGTCATCCCTTGATATCCATGGGGGACTGAATCCAGGAGTCCTCCATACCGATATCTACAGATGCTCAAGTCCATTATAGAAAATGCTACAGCATTTAAGATAACCTATAAACTACTTCTTGTATAATTTAAACTGCCTCTAGATTACTTATGGTCCTACTGCCACATAAATGCTATGTAAACAGTTGTTATACTGTATTGTATTGTATAGGGAATAATATCAAGGAAAAAGCCTACATATGTGTAGAACAGATACAATTTTTTTTCAAATATGTTTGCTAGGCAGGGTATGGTGGTGCATGCCTGTCACCCCAGCATGGGAGGCTGAGGCAGGAAGATTGCCTCAAAGTTTGAGGCCACCCTGAGCTAGTGAGTTCAATGCCAGCCTGACATTCATAGTGAGATCTAGGTCTCAAGGAAAAAAAAAATGATTTCTTGGCAGTTGGTTGATTTGTGGATGTACAGGGTGGACTATATTTTGCTAGGAAGGCTGAGATTCTCGAAATACCTCCCTGAAAAGGGAGATATGTCCATGCCTAAACACAACATTAATGCAAGTGTTCTGTAGCCCCCCTTTTAGGATCCTTCCCTGACCCCTAGAGCCCTTCAAGAATTATTCTGTTGTTTCCATCATGTAACTGTGACCTGTTATGTTGCCTTGTGTATGAGAGGTAAACATTCCAGATCCTTCATCTCACTTTCAGCAATCTTCCCTCTCTTTATCTAGTATGACTTAACCAATCTCCAAGCCATACTGCTGTAGGGAATCAGAATACACCACCCTCACACAAGCCACACTGGCATAAGGATTATTTTGAGCTGAAAGCAAGCAAAGATCCACAGATACAAGATGTCTTTCTAAGCTTTCCTTATCTGACCAAAAGTAGAAAATAAGGACTACCATAAACCCCTTAAGACTGCCCTTGTCTTCCATTGTTTCCTCCAGATAGTTACCTTCCCAAGATTTGCTGCCCACAGAAGCCAAAAACCCTCTTAACATTATCTTCTCTCCTCCTGACAAATGTATTGTTTGGGTTCAAACTTTTCCTAAGCCCAAATTTCAATCACACCTCGGAGTACCTCATCCCTGAGCTCCTCTGTCCTACATGTACGCATGCTGTGCATGTTAACCAACTCAGCTCTTTTCTGGTTAAAATATTTTTGCCACTTTAATTTCCAGTGCCCAAGCTGTTGAACCCAAGTATGCAGAGAAAAGGTTTTGCTTCGTTCAGTTTAGTTTTGCTACAGCCATGCTGTGAAGGCTTCCTGACAGATAATGAAGCCAGCCAGGATGTGGTCTAGGAAGCTGCTAGGAGGCGCAAAGGCAAGGATGGTGATGACATTTTCAAAGGTGGGGTTTATCGTGGCTACTTTACCATTGCTGGGCCACAATACCTAACATTCACTACCTAAAGTAGATGAGGTTTATTTTGGTTCAGTTTCAGAAGTTTCAGCCCATGGTTGGCTGGCTCCAAGACAGAAACCACATGGTAGAACAGCCTCGGTGAGAGAAAACTGCTCACAGAAAGCAAAAAGCCAGGGGAGGAACTGGGGAGAGACATATTATACCCTTTCAGGCCACGCCCCCAGTGACTCACCTCTAATCAGGCCTCACCACCTGACAGCCCCCTCAGCTACTGAACTTATAGTGGATGAACTCTTTGATGAGTACAGTGCCTTCGTTATTCAATCACCTTCCAAAAGCTCCACCTAGAAACACACGAGACATGGGGGACATTTTTGATCTAAAACATAGCAGGGTTTATGGGGGAAGACTTTCCAAACAAAGTAAGTTTGCCAAACCTTAGTGTATCCAGAGTCAAAAACATCATGGCAGACAATGAGGTAAATTGCAGGTTCCAAACTAATGATCAGCTTTCTCCCTGTGGTGGTGATTATCCAGGAAAGAGGACCCTGATTCAATTAAATAAAGGAACCGCCTATCTCTAAATTCATAAACTAGTCTTCTTTATTAATATATATGTGGTAAGTAATTCTGCCCCACACACCCAGCTGTTTTACTTTCTCACCCGTTTCCCCTGATCCACGAGAACAAATATTTAAAAGATATTTTTCCAATGTCCCCCTTCTTCTGTTTTCCGTCTTACCTTTCAGTTTCATACCAACTTTGTTCCAATTTACTGACAATGTCCTAACCCCTTCTAGAGCTGCTAAGAAGTATGACAATAATTATTTTAATTTTGCCTGTCCAGATGTATAAAATTTTCTCATTATCTAGAAAATTCCAGAATTTTACCAGGAAATACCTATTCACCTAGTTTGAAATAAAAATTAACCTGCATGACTTTTCAACACAGAGAACTTCTACTTATTTACCCAACCATGATCCGCTCTTCTCTCAGTACTCTTGGTATTTGTGCTAAATCTCGAGTCTGCCTCTAAGTTTCTTATCTTTTCCCTCTAAATAACTTTGCGTTATGGGGTAAAGAATTTGTTCCCCTTGATCTTCCAGAATAGTAATTATATTCTCAGCAATGATCATATTGTTTGTACACCTGAAAAAAAAATATAATGTAAAAGTAATGCTTTGACCTCCAGAAACATTTTTTCACTGCATTTTGCTAAAGTCCTCTTCCATCTCTTAAGGCAGTATGGCTTCAATAGGACACATACTTCCTATTTTAGAGTTAGCACTCATAGCTTCACATGACTAAAACCCCTTCAGTGAGCTGAGGAGGATCTGCCTACGCACAGCTAAGCACCCCTCAACACTTTTTTGGGTGAGGACACTGGTGCTGAGTAGTGGAATAACTACTAGATAGGCTTGTGCTAAGAATTAGGAGAGGTAACAGAAGGGTACTAGGTGCAGAAAAGTGCTGGATGAGATGCTATGTTTCAAATACTGACCACTTCCTAATCACAAGAGCAATTTGGACATCCAAATCAGTTCTCTTTGAATTTCTGTGGTCAACAGCATCAAACAGTTCCTTGAAGACAAACAGGGGTTGCTCTGGCCTCTCAACTCACTGCAGGTGCTCCCAAAACCCCAAACACAAAAAGAAATAACTTGAACCGGGTATCCCTCATTTCTGGATACCTTGGATGAAATTCTGCCTCTGACACAGCTGCCGTAATAATACTTCTAGCCTCACATACCCTACTAGTGCCTTCCAATCCGTCCACTAAGAAGTGTATGGGTTTCAGCCCCCCTGAACCTGGGAGAGTCTCTGTAACTGCTTATCAAATAAAATGACAAGAGTGACATCATGGGCTAGGTTATGGGAATGCTCAGTCTTGGAACCCAATCGCCATGTTGTGAGAAGTCCAAGCCACAGAGTAGTCTCGTGGGGTATGTGGCCCACAGCTTCACCCAAGGATTCTTGATGGACAACCAGAAGTGTGACAGGCCTTCAGATGATAACCTCAGTACTTCAACCATTGTAGCCCTTGACAGGTACAGCAAGAATGAGCTGTTCTCTCTGAGCCCTGACCAAAAGCAGAATCAGAAGGAAAGTAAATGTCACTGCTATTTTAAGACACTGGTTTTGGGATGGTTTGTTATATATTACATTACCAAAATAGCCACCATGTTTTATACTCACTTTGCTGTTCTAGGGAGGAAATGAGGGACATGTTCCCAGACCAAGTTCTCCTTTTTATACTTTAGTACCAAATTTTCCTATTTCTTATGGACTCAGTCTTGTTTCTAGATCTCTCCTTGTGGTGGCTTTGAGAAGATCCTAGAAACATCAGCTTCTTTGGTACTAAAATGATTGTCAGAGAGAGGTATAATGGGAAGAAACTGGCATAACATACCAATTCTGTTTCAAAAAATACACTTAGCAAAAGAAGACTTGTTAAATATTATGGCAGTTCTTAGGTTGAGACTCAAAATATCTTGAGTTATCTCAGGGAATGACATTATATTTTACAAAGTTTAGGGGGAAACACCTTTTTATGAATTCACTTAACTAGGTCAAGGGATTTTAGAAGTGTGGTGTGATGGGATTAGCAGTCAGGAATCCTTGTTTCTGGCAGGGCTGTTTCCAAATGGTTCATTCTCCAGCAAAGCAGCTTAGTTCCTCAGGATCTCAGTTACACTGTCTGTTAAGTAAAGAAATTGGGCACAATGACCTTTAAAAGGATGTTGCCAGCTCACCTATTCCTCCGAAGCTTCAAGAATATTCATATGTCAATGCCAAGAACACACACCGCACCCAACTCCATCATTTCACACATGAAAGAGCTTAAAAGACAGAGCCAGATCAGTACCCAGAGAAAAAAGCAGAATTCCCAACACTGGAAGAATGAGCCACGTAACATCCCATCGATGGGGAATCCCTCCAGGTGTTTTGAATACACAGCTGTACCCTGTGCTCCAAAAAGGAATGAAAGGGTCATTCTTTCCCTTCTGAGATACCAGCCTCAGAAGGAGAGGGATAATGATGGTGGCTGTGAACTCACTGGCTCAATGTCTGAAAGAACGAGGGTAGAACATGCCTCAGTGGCTCTAAGGACTGCATGGAGACCTTTTCCTGCTCCCTTCTTCTTAGGTCTGCTTTGCTTGACAGATTCTCTGACAGATTCCTCCTCACAGTTCACGTCTCACCCAACAGAAAATTATCTTATGGAGAAACCCAGAAAAAGCCCCCAAACTGAATCTCACCAACTGTGGTAGGCAGAGTAGTGATCCCTAAACACAATCAACTCAAAATCCCCAGAACCTGTGAATATAGTACCTTACATGGCAAAACAAACTTCACAGATGTGATGAAAGACCTTAAGATGAACAAAGTATCCTGGATTATCCAGATGACTCCAATGTATTCCACGAGTCCTTAAAAAGACAAGAGAAAAGATTCAGAGGGAGATGTGACCAGAGAGAGAGAGAGAGAGAGAGAGAGAGAGAGAGAGTCAGAGTCATGTGAGGTGTTGCTGTTTCCACAGAGGGAGGGAAGGACACGAGGCAAAGGTAGGCTCTAGAAGACTAAGAAGCCCAGGAAACTGATTCTGCCCCTGGGCCTCTAGAAAAGAACACTGCCCTGCTGACAACCCTGATTTCAGTCCAGTGGGATCCCTGGCAGACTTCTAACCTCCCTAAATCTTTGGGTTTTCCCACTTGTACAACGTGGACCCAGTCTGGCAAAAAAAGGTTCCCTGAAGAAAGGCAGGATGCTGTCCCAGGGGAATGGGGAATGGGCAATGAATAACAGTCAGCAAAAATATCCACACACGAGGAGGTCAAATGAGATGCCAAGAAGAAGCCCTCTGCATTTCTAGAACACTAGGCATGCCAGGAAGAAAACTTAGGCAGTAGAAAACATTTCAAATTTGCTTTCCTCAAAAGATCACAGCTTTCAAGGAAAAAGAAAATGCAAATGGAAAAGAAGAGTGCATGGATGGGTGGTGCTGAATAACAAAATTTGGTTTTCTAGACTGTCTTTTGATGAAACATAGATTCTTCTATCTAATCTAATTACAAATTCTAGAGAATATAATTGTCAGAAGAATTATGAATTCTTAAAAATGTAAATTAAGGGAGGGGAGGTGGAAGCAGTCATACAAATTAGATGTATTAATTATAATTTCTCATTTTATGTATCACCGATGCTCTCGAATTTGGGATCCTGAAGACTCAGGCAACAGTCCTTCCCAGGTTAAAAATTCCTAGAGTTAACTACCAACTCACCTGCCAGCACTCTTTTGATATACAAATCACTTAACTGGAAATCCACATCCTCCACCAGTCCCTTCCTATGAGACTCCAATCCAGACTGCTATTCCTCTGTTTTAGTCACCAAAGAGCCAAATACTAGACCTCAGGGGATCACCCCTATTGTCCAGAGCCCACTGACTTGTTCAAACTATCCTATCAAGAATTTACTGACGGTTCACCTTGCTTTGCCCCCTTCCTTCTGGTGTAAACTGCAATCAAGGATTCCACTGACAGCTTCTGTCCTCTCTCCAGGCCTGCTCCTCTCGCCTCCCATGTGGGTCTGCATGGCATACTGCAGTGCCTCCTGTATCAAGCAGCTGTGACTATGATTAAAAACTCCTTCTTTCATAGCAAGCATCGTTGCATCTGCGTTATCTTACACCTGCTCAAAACAAGTCCTGAGTGCACTGGTATTACAGGAGAAGACAGAAGATATGACTCAACTATAACAGTGGGATGGAAGATCTCAGGAAGTTGTCAAGGGAGAATAAACACGATGAGTCTGGAAACAATCAGCAGGCTCTGGATGCCAACCCAAAATCTAGGGAAAAAGCAACCCCAAGATTTAAAGTGATGATTAATAAATAAGAGTCTTTTGGCTATGACCAGATGTAATGGGATAATGTGCTCACATCCACCAAGAAGAGGACGGTAGATCTTTTCTAGGGCTTCAGAAAGGTTCCTAATTAGTCTGCTTGGGCTGCACAAACTGGGTGCCTTAAACTACAGAAATGTATTGCTTCTCAGTTTTGGAGACTGAAATTTTAAAATCAAAGTGTCAGGAGGGCTGGCTTCTCTGAGGACTGTGAGAAGAATCTGTTCCAGACATCTCCCCTGGCTTCTAGTGGCCTCAGATATCCCTTGTTTTGTAGACAGTGCTCTCCTGGTGTCTTTTTGTCATTTTCCACCAGTGTATGTCTATGTCCAGATGTTCCCTTTCTATAAGGACACACACTGATTTCAGGTTAGGACCCAGCCTAATGATGGCACCTGAACTTGATCACCTGCGAAGATCCTTCTAAATACAAT